AAATAAATATTTAAAAAAAATTAAAAGTTTATAAAAAAATAAAAATATTTGAAAAAATTAAAATAAAACCACTTTCGGTTTCGGTCTGACAATTTTTTTTATTTCTATTTCGGTGCACCTCTAGTGCAGACCTTACTAATCCTTCCTTTGGGCCGTCACACACTGACTCTTCTTCTGACATAATCCCTGGTGATCCAGTGGTTGATTAGTAAGGTCTGCTCCTTTGGCCGGCGCTCACCGAAGGCTGTCGGAGCGCCGGCTGAAAGGAAGTACTGAGCGTCGGCAGTGCTAGTTGTAGCTATGCGCTCTTCATCCAACAGAGATGCCAACTATGTAACTGCTCCCACAAATCAGGTACGCATGACTTGTCAGCTGGTTGCGGGCCACATGATACTGGTAGGCAGAGCAGAATTGGCCCATGGGCCGGTAATTTGAGACCCCAGGGCTAGCCATTAGCTAATGTGCAGGAGGTTCTACCCTTAAAGAAGAACTCCAGGATAGTCATTGCTATTTAAAATCTGATAGCTTATCAATGGTTAAGTACAAGAGGTATTTTACAACTAAAGGTGCCCATACACTGCACGATTCTTGTACGAGAATCGCGGGAAATCCCGCGATGTACGAGAATCGTGCAGTGTATGGAAGGCGTGCGACCGTTTCTACTGTACGGTCGCACGTCTTCCATCGAACCAGCATGTTTGAAAACCCGCCGGGAATCGTATGATTCTCGGCGAGTTGGTGGCCTGCTGGTTCGACAACTGCCGAACGGGCCGGTGTGCGCACGCACACACTGCCCGTTTGCAGTCAGCGTAAGCCCGCCCCTCATTACAGTCATCGCAAGCCCGCCCCTCAGGGGGCGTGGCTTGCGATGATCGAGAGTGCGATCTGCACGTCCAAGATGGGCAGATCGTACGTTTTTTTAATCCCTTTACAACCATCGCAAGACTAAGGTCTTGCGATGGTTGTACAGTGTATGGCCACCTTTACAGGTACACAGAGCGCTGTGTAACTCTGTACACAGAACTTTCACTATACTACCCGCACTCCAACAGGAGAGATCTGGCTCTCCTACACAGCATATGCATTTTTTTCAGCACTGGAAATGACTCACTGGGTCTCCCCAATATCAGTTTTCTCACAAACGGGTTTAGCTCCTCAAAACAGAGAGGGAATTCTTCCAAAACATGTAAAACAAGCACACAAGAAAGCACCTTCCTCTTGTGAAAAAGTTTAATAAGGATTCAAAATATGGAAACAATGCATATACCCACAAAAGTCCCACTTACACTACACTTATACTCCACAACAAAGTTAGTCATGGATACTCCAAACTGCAAATGGCAGGTGCATTCTTCCTCAATCGATAATGTTCCAGACGCCATCAGCTGGACAAGCCAGCACATACGTCAGAGGCCCCAACGGCTGAGGTGGGCAAACGATGAAGACTTTAGAAGGTCTAGTGTGTTGGAGCACCAGAAGTATAGTGATAGCTAGGGATGTCCAGATACCAGTGGCGATACTTAGCATTTTTATGAGAACTACCATGGTTGCAGCAGTTGCAGCTGGGACCTGGCTCTGGTGCTCCACCACTGTCCTGAAATCATTAGTCTGTATTGTTTTAGAAAAACTGCCACATGGCAATAAAAAAAAATGTATCAGTACTTGTGTCTGTGAGGACTTGGGCAAGTATCAGTACTTGTACATGCAAAAATGGTATCAGTGCATCCCTTATTAGCCCTCGTTCACACCTGAACGTTTTGTAGAGCGTTCTACGCTCCACGAACGCTCTACAAAACGCTCAAACATCTAAATCCCATTGTATTCAATGGGTCTGGTTCACACCTTGGCGTATTTCAGCCCGTCCCTAACGCGCTACAAAACGGCCCACGCCTGAAAAGGTACATGTACTACTTTGGGCCGTTTTTGTTGCGCGTTTCCATTGGGATACAGCCAAGTAGCCCTTGGAAACGCGCGTTTGTCGCGCGATTTTTTTACCGCAAATTGCGGTAAAAAACCTGCGCGACAGACGCGCATATGCAATACGCCTAGGTGTGAACCAGGCCTTATATATATTTATAAACAAAATCATACATTAAAACAGAGATGTCCAAATCCAAGGAGCTCTGTGTGCTCCTTACAAATGACAGCTGCCTCCTAACTTTAGAATTTTTCTCTAGTCTAGTCCTGGAGCTGGAAAAGTATCGGTACTTGTACGGTACTTGGTATCTGAACATCCCTAACTCATATCTCATCAAATTGGCAAGAACCCT